GCTTGCAGGTTATACCAACCACTTACGAGACTCGTAGGATGATACCCCAAGCCGTGCCCCAAGCCGTGCAACACGCGGCCGTTGTGGTCCTGCATCTGCATCAAACCTGACGTTTGCCGCGTGGATTTAAAGAAACAATCTATGATCTGCAATAATATTTAATACCATCATCTATATACAGTATTGTATATATATATATATGTTATAGTTATATACATCTATTCATAAATATGTGTGTATGAATATATAAATTTCACATATATGTATAATCATTATCATTTTACATGAATAGCTTTGACTTTCCAAGAACCTTCTTATTTTATGGGACATGTCTGCATGGAGAGGTGGGTTCCATATGTTCCATGACGGAGGTGGACCTGGGACCTTTAGGACCTTCGAGGCCCAGGAACAAATGCGTCCAAAACGACCCAGGCGAACTCCTTCACAGTCCAGAGCGATTGCGGCTCCAGAAGCTGAGACATCTGCAGTGTCCTTGGGAAAGCACTTGGGATTACAAAAGGAAACAACTGCTTGGTGGTTGAGCCACCCATCTGAAAAATATTAATTGGTCAGTTGGTATGATTGTTCCCAATATATGGAATAATAATAACATGTTCCAAACCACCGACCAGATAACTGTGATTAACTATGGTTCAACAAGGTGTACGTAGCCAAGCCTTATCAAGAATGTGATTGAACCAAGAAAAAATGAGGAAACAATGGGACAATTAGAGTAGGACATAATCAGCAGTTTATTTGAGCTTGAAATGGTCTGGTAGAGTTGTTTGCGCAGGGCCTAGAATCTGTTTCGTTTTCACTCTGTATGACTGAAACAAACGACAATAGTGAATAGTGAATAGTGACACATATTCTTTGGATGGGTAGAAACCACCGATTGCTAATCCACAATTACACGGCACGGGACTATAAAAAGGTCCTGGGGCTTGTGAGTTTGGACTCTCGGAACATGATGGTCACAACGGTCCAGCCCTTCGCAACCATCCAGCCCTTCAAGGCAGTCTATCACAACCCATGCGACATGTCTTTGGTGAAGTCCCCAATGCAACTGATTCTTCCCGGTGTGTTGAATGCTGTTCAAAATCCCTGCCAAAATCATGCAGGCTACACCGCCATCCCCTCAGCTTTATCAAAACGTGCCATTCTCGACTGCTTCTGAACAATGATTGAACCCCTCAAAAAACCATCCGGAACTTCCCTTTCCAAACGACCTCAACTGTAATAACTTGGGTTTCCCATACGGTTTCCCCATGACTTCGAATTCCCCGCTGACTTCCCAGCAACTGATGCCTCCAGGTATTTCTCGCACCACTGCTGTGCCGATTCCTCGCAGGTGATCAGATGCACCCGCCGCGCCAGGGCGACAGCAGCACGGCGCATGGCTGGCCATGGTGCGACTGACGCAGGGCAGTACTACTACCCCCAAGAAACGCCAGAAAAATGTCAACGTTGAGATCATCATCCCCATTTTTAGGGATGAACACCTGGAACGCAAACTTAAGAATGTTGAATGATGAGGATATGATATACAAGTCTATTGGTTTCTCTATTCATAATTATTAATCGTATTCATTATTTCATTGATAATAATGACCAATCCTGGTGATAGTTGATTCCTCGGCTGAGCTTAAGAACCTGGACTGCGACAGTTGGGCAACGGTGGCACGCTATGTGGTGGCTCTCCAAATCTGTGGAATGGAAGTAAACCAAGATAACCAAGTCCTGATTGGGTTCCTGTGCATTGTCTCTATATATCATATCATATATGAAATATATGATATATATATATATTATATACGTATATTTAAGTATTGGCATTATATAGCATTTGTATACCATTGTGGAGTTTCACGAAGCCCTGACGTCTTAGGTTTTGGTCAAACACAAATATTCACGAGTCGGGATGGTGCTTGGTTATATAACAACAAGATGAAGCCCACGAACCCGAATGCTCACACGTATGTTAATGGTACAGATGTGAAAACACATGGTTTTGCAGTCACGCACAATACCTTTCTGCAATAGTTTATTTGAAAAGTCTTGTGCATGTTTCCCTTGTTACCAGTCTGCAGTGTGGAGTGGAAAGTGTAGAGTGTGGAGAGTAAAAAGTATGGAGAGGGGAGTGTAGAGTGTGTAAAGTGTAGAATGCGGAGTGTAAAGTGTAGAGTGTGGAGTATGGAGTGTAAAGTGTAGAGTGTGAAGTATGAAGTGTAAAGTGTAGAGTGTGGAGTGTAGAGTGTGGAGTGTAGAGTGTAGAGTAGGGAGTGAGGAGTGTAAAGTGCAAAGTGTGGAGTGTGGAGTGTAAAGTGAGGAGTGTAAAGTGTGGAGTGAGGAGTGTGGAGTGTAAAGTGAGGAGTGTAAAGTGTGGAATGTAAAGTGTGGAGTTTGTAAATTGTAGAGTGCGAAGTGTAGAGTGTAAAGTGTAGAGTCTAGAGTGTAAAGTGGAGAGTGTGGAGTGTAGGGTGTAGCGTGTGGAGTGTGAAGTGGAAAGTGTAGAGTGTGGCGTGTAGAGTGTGGAGTGTGGAGTTTAAAGTGTGGAGTGTAGAGTGTGGAGTGTGGAGTGTAAAGTGAAGAGTGTGGAGTGTAAAGTGTGGAGTGTGGAGTGAGGAGTGTAGATAAAGTGAAAAGCGTGGAGTGTAAAGTGTAAAGTGTGGAGAGTAGAGTGTATAGTGTAGAGTGTAAAGTGTGGAGTGTGGAGTGGAAAGTGTGGAGTGTAAAGTGTAGAGTGTGGAGTGTAAAGTGTGGAGTGTAAAGTGTGGAGTGAGGAGTGTAGAGAAGGGAGTGTGGAGTGTAAAGTGTGGAGTGTGGAGTGTGGAGTGGAAAGTGTGGAGTGTGGAGTGTGGAGTGGAAAGTGTGGAGTGTGAAGTGTAAAGTGTAGTGTGTGGAGTGAGGAGTGTAAAGTGTGGAGTGTGGAGTGTAAAGTGTGGAGTGTGGAGTGAGGAGTGTAAAGTGTGGAGTGTAGAGTGTGGAGTGTGGAGTGTAAAGTGAGGAGTTTGAAGTGTGGAGTGTGGAGTGGGGAGTGTAAAGTATAAAGTCTGGAGTGTGGAGTGTACAGTAAAGTGTGGAGTGTGGAGTGCGGAGTGTGGAGTGGAAAGTGTAGAGTGTGGAGTGTAAAGTGGGGAGTGTGGAGTGTAGAGTGTGGAGTGAGGAGTGTAAAGTATAAAGTGTGGAGTGTAAAGTGTAGAGTGTGGAGTGTGGGGTGTGGAGTGGAAAGTGTAGAGTGTGGTGTGTAGAGTGTGGAGTGCGGAGTGTAAAATGTAAAGTGTGGAGCGTAGAGTGTAAAGTGTAGAGTGTGGAGTGTGGAGTGTAAAGTCTCAGGTGAGGAGTGAGGAGTGTAAAGTGCAAAGTGTAAAGTGTGGAGTCTAAAGTGTAAATTGTGGAGTGCGGAGTGTAAAGTGTAGAGTGTGGAGTGCGGAGCTTCCCCCATAGACACGGCGACGCCACAGGAAAACCAGAGACTCGAGACAAGACATGTGGATGCAGAAAAACCAGCATTTCGTACGAGACTTCCTCCAATTTTGACATTTTCAACACATTATCAAACAGATTGGAATGTCACAAAGTGCCACGCCTGCCACGCAAAACGACATGACAACCTGCTTGGAAACATTCGAAAAGGATAGGTTTTCCAGCTTCCCCCATAGACACGGCGACGCCACAGGAAAACCAGCGACTCGAGACAAGACATGTGGATGCAGAAAAAACAGCATTTCGCACGAGACTTCCTCCAATTTTGATATTTTCCACATGTTATCAAACACGTTGGAATGTCACAAAGTGCCACGCCTGCCACGCAAAACGGCATGACAACCTGCTTGGAAACATTCGAAAAGGACACGTTTTCCAGCTTCCCCCATAGACACGGCGACGCCACAGGAAAACCAGCGACTCGAGACAAGACACGTGGATGCAGAAAAAACAGCATTTCGCACGAGACTTCCTCCAATTTTCACAGCTGGCAACATGACAAAAGGACAAGTTTTGCAGCTTCCCCCATAGACACGGCGAGGCCACGGGAAAACCGGACACGCGAGAAGAGACAGGTGGGAGCACCAAAACGAACATTTCGTGCGAGACTTCCTCCACTTTTCACACTTTGCAGCTTCAAAATCGACGTTTTCCTACGAGTTTTCCTTAGAACCCGAAAATTGCCAACATCAAAATCGATGTTTCGTGCGAGGCTTCCGTCAATTTTCAGCACATGTCAGAAAATGCCACGCCTGCCACGGAATTTGCACCTTGTCACCACTTGACGCAGCCCTGCCAATGTGATTTACAAAAAACACGCAACGCGACACGTCTAAAGTGCTGCGCCTGCCACGAAAAATGACGATGGACATGCCCAAAGTGCTGCGCCTGCCACGAAAACTGCAACACATCTTCTGAAAACGTCGCAAAAGTATTGCGCCTGCCACGCAAAACGACTTTCGACACGTTGCAGAACACGTCTGAATGTCACGAAGTGCCACGCCTGCCACGCGAAACGAAGCAACGACACGTCTGAAACCTCCAAAAATGACCACCTCTGCAGAACTTCCCATAGGCACGGCCATACGGGGATCGCGCGAACGGTTGCGGACGGTTGCGAACGGTTGCGGACGGTTGCGAACGGTTGCGACCACAAACGCAACGTCGAGCGAACACACCCTCAACCCCCAGACCCCCGGAGTGAAACGGGAACCCTCGCTATGCATTCGGGAATAAAACCTCTTGCATGTACCCTCTGGTTATTTAACATAGCCATGGAAAATCACCATTTTTAATAGGTAAACCATCTATAAATGGGCCATTTTCGATGGCTATACGTTAAATTACCAGATGGTACGCAAAAACGATTCTCACCCTGGATTGCCAAAAATTGAATGTCAAAATATGTCAAAATATGTCAAAACCCAGTAATCCCCAATTTATGCTGCAGAACGGGAACGAATTTCTGATGTTTTCTGATTGGGAAGGAATATCCACAGCATGAAGCCCGCCGCTTTTCTTTCAAAGATCATCGGTTGTGGCCGGCTGCCATTCCTGCCACTGAGAGCCAAAGCTTCAAGCAGAGCTAAGTCAGTCGGACATATGATGCCCTCTGGTAAACTAACATAGCTATTGAAAATGGCCATTTATAGTGAGTTTTCCCATTAAAAATGGTGATTTTCCATAGCTATGTAAACGTTTACCAGAGGGTAATTTGAACAAATGCATGGTTAGATCTGATCAGTATGCCTTAACCCTCGGCTGAAGAATCAAAACAAGGTGAAAGATGTGAAAGTACACAAGCATACTTTACTTTACTTAGTGTGATCCCCACCCGTGGCATATATCTTGCCATATATGTTTAGCATGTATTCAATCTGACATCTTATCTGACATATATTCTGACATTTTGTCTCACAAATATTCTGGCAGTCTATCTGGCATTTTATCTCGCATATTTTCTGACATTACATTCTATTTGGCAAATAGTCTGACATTCTGGCATATATCCTAACATTCGATCTGACATAATTATATTTCCACATCGTATCTGACATTCTATCTGATATAATTTGTCCGGATGGGGGGGTGGTCAACACATGTGAAAAAATGGTTGAACATAATGTGTTGGGAAAACCTCTCTCCAACTATATAATAATTAGGGTGGTGGGGTTGGCGGCTGGGATTTTGTAGATACAAAGTGAAACGGTCGGGGGGGGGGGGCCCTCTACAAAATCACAAACGTGAGTCAAATCAGGCCCTGGGTTCTCTACAAAATCCCAGCCGTTAACCCCATTTGTGTCAGTGCACTCTATCTTGTTGCACCGAGTCGGATCCTGACTGATATTTTCCAACCCCAGTATGTTGGCACGGGTGTATGCCCCCCCCCAAAAAAGATTTTGTAGAGGCCGTAGGGTTTGTCCAACTGAAGCTATGAGAAACCATGGAAACACCTAAGAATCACACAAAAACACATTCAAACGAAGGAATATTGACCAAACATGTTCTGCAAACATGCCGGGCACTTCCTGCGCACCCGCTTTTTTTTGTGGCACCTGATTTACAATCGGTGTGTGTGTGTGTGTGTCCATGTGTGTGTGTGTGGGCGGGTGGTCAAGGTTTTTCCCCACCTGCCAGGTGAGGGTTGTTAGATTTTATGTCAGTTGCCTCCTCCTCCTTCTCCTCCTCCTTCTCCTCCTCCTCCTATCCTCCTCCTCCTCGTCCTCCTCGTCGTCCTCGTCGTCCTCGTCGTCCTTGCTCAACTGCGACCCGCGATCCACAGTGTTCTCTGCCGGACCTCAACCACGACCATCCACGCCCAGTGTTCCCTGCCGGACCTCAACCACGACCATCCACGCCCAATGTTCCCTGCCGGACCTCAACCACGACCATCCTCGCCCAGTGTTCCCTGCCGGACCTCAACCACGACCATCCCCGCCCAGTGTTCCCTGCCGGACCTCAACCATCCACGCCCAGTGTTCCCTGCCGGACCTCAACCGCGAGTATCCACGCCAAGTGTTCCCTGCCGGACCTCATGTAGGAAGATATGGGACAAAGAATGTGCAGAAGAAAGTTAGAAAGAATGTCAGAAAGAATGCCAGAAGATATGCCAGAAGATCTGCCAGATAGAATGCCAAATAGAATGCCAGATAGAATGCCAGAAGATATGTCAGAATATATGCCGAAGATATGCCAGATAGAATGCCGAAGATATGCCAGATAGAATGCCAGATAGAATGCCAGAAGATTTGCCAGATAGAATGCCAGAAAATATGCCAGAAGATATGCCAGATAGATATGCCAGAAGATATGCCAGAAGATATGTCAGAATAATGGCCAGAAGATATGTCAGATAGAATGCCAGAAGATATGTCAGAAGATATGCCAGAAGATATGCCAGATAGAATGCCAGATTGAATGCCAGAAGATATGTCAGATAGAGTGCCAGAAGATATGCCAGATAGAATGCCAGAAGATTTGACAGATAGAATGCCAGAAGATATGCCAGAAGATATGCCAGATCATATGCCAGAAGATATGCCAGATAGAATGTCAAATAGAATGTCAGAAGATATGTCAGATAGAATGCCAGAAGATTTGCCAGTAAGAAAATGTATAAATGTCATGGTGGGGATCACACGAAGTAAAGTAATTGTCGATGGAGCACAAGCGCATTAGTTTTATTGGAACAATATCAGGATGTAAACCTCCAATATCAGCATTGTCTTGGAATTGATTCAGGATATTCAGACATATTTACAGCACATAAACGTCAATTCCAAGACAATGTCTGCAAACCTCACCCGGTCGCTCTGGCTGAAAAAAACCATGAGATGAGCGACATTATCTCCAAAGTCCAGTGGTTTGAATCACCATTGAGCTTGCAGATATCTTGTGGTTAATCTGCCAATTTTGAGATAAACCCATACCATATTGGCTATATATGTATATATATATATATGTGTGTACATATAAAATATGTACATATGTATACATACATACATACATATATATATATATCGTATACATGTATAATATGTATAGATTATGGATTTATCTCATGATATCCCCCGTCCTGAAATCCATGGCGCTGCCAAGAACCCACTGCAGAAGCACAGCTACGACGCTCGGCTACACCTGGGGGTCCCCGGGTATATATTTGGAATATAGTGGGATATACACACAAATGTATATATATATATGATATGCATATATATATATTATATTTATTTGTTTATATAACTTTTATAACTTATATAACCAACATTATATGGATTTGTCTGAAAATAAAGGATTAACATAAACATGCGGCCATTCTAATGGAGAACACGATGTTGTCTTCGGGATTTTAGGGTGCGCAACTTTTCCCAATCTACTACGGGAAAATCCTGAAATTGAAGAACAAGTAGAAAGCAATTAGAGGAAGGAATGCTAAACTAAGCTACAACAGGTTGCGATTGGTGGCCAATGATTCTAAACTAATACCGAGCACCTGTGGTGATGAGTTATAGAAACTAGGTCCTGTTTTTGTTGGATATCCTTTCTCATTTCTATTGGTCGCCACCACCAACATGACCTAATTGTCTACCAGAAAATCAGTTTCTCAGCTGAACAAAGTAAAATGTGTATTGATCATCTCATGTTTGCTTAGTATATGTTGCTGCTATGTTGTTATGGTCTCCACACTCATCCCCTACTTCCATCAACTAGCCAGTCATCATGTTGCTGTTTAAAATAGCCATAACTGAGGGGTATCTTAACCATGTTCAGACATAATTACCCAAATATCATATCAATGTTTGTGTATATATCCCCATGAAACATTTTGCTAACATCCCATTGAAGCAACATTTTCAGGCACACCATATTCTTGATGGTTAAACCAAGTCAAATCAAAATTGTCAGACACATAGCTTTGAAACTTAAATCCCAGTTTCTCATCATGTCATCCCATTATTATCCCATTATCATGTGGTTGAATCCATATTGTTGATGCTTAAATCATCATTCTAAGCTTAGTTCAAGAAGTTCAATTCCTACTATCTTTTCAAACAAAATTACATACAGTCCCAAATCTTTGACGCTTCAATCCCCATTTTTCCATGTTTTTTCTCAGTTTTCTCCCACTTTTTCCATGGTTTTCTATCCTCATCCCATGAGTTCCATGGTTTTGGCCTCCCCAGTGGCCTCCCCAGTGGCCTCCACAGGCCTCTTTTACGGCCTCCACCACGTCGCCCACCGGCGCCAGAGCGCCACGGCCCACGTCACCGCAGGCCAGGCGTTTGCAGCTGGGAGGCACCACGCGGCAGCCGTAGCTCTCCAGCGTACTGTGGGCCATTTGGGCCATTTGGGAATGGTAAGCATACCACCTATAAAAATCGTGAAATTGGGAATGGTTTATTATTGTTTTACCAACATTATATATATAATATATATGTATGTATGTATACATATATATATATATACGTATATGTTTATATATTTATATATGTTCAATACATTGTGTAGTTATGAGTACGTAAATGCTACATATCATATTTGCGTTCTATGTATAGTAAATAAATAGTTTCAGTATCATGAGGATAATATAGAGAGAGAGAGATCCAGAGTTTTCATTGAGATATCGTATTGTTTTCCATTACAGGTACTTCTACACAGTTTTAAGTTACTTTTACAAATCTCTATATATATATATACATTTATATATATATATAGACTGACATATATATATATATTATATATGCATACATACGTATGTATATATATATATATGCACACACATGCACATATATATATATGCATATATATATATATACACATCATTATCAATCATTCTTACAGTAATCATTATCATAGGATATTCAAGGAATTTAGAATGATTTAGAATGCACCTTCAACACACCCAAAACCACCTCCCTCGAGTCCTCAAGTGTTGCGCCGTGCTGGGATGCTCCCACATCACCGTGTTCATGGCTGGTGCCACCAGCAGAGGCTTATCCGGATCCCAGGCGCGTAAGAAGCAGGCAGCCAAGTTGTCCTGAGTTGTGTCCATCAAAATCCCGTTAAAGATCCACAAAAGATCACAGAATCGTTATATAAAATGGATATTGAAATTCAATATAATTCAATAACATGAATCTAATATATGGATATTACAGTAAATGGTATTTTCATGATATTGATATGATGTGATTCTGATGATAGGTAGCCCAAAGTGACCAAGATTTTGGCGATTCTTGCCAGTTTTAGACTTAGGGATCTACCTACATATGAGGATGGGTCAAAACCTTGTACCCCTGGTGAACATCAAAATAGCTGGTAAATGGATGTTCATCCCACTAAAAATGGTATTAGTAGGTATTGATCCATACCCATATCTACTGTAATCACTGTAGCTCCCTTTTTCAGACTTCTGAACCCTTGATGTCACATGAATCAGAAGGAATGAACATGAACATCGACGATAAGGATGATGACCTTTGATAACCAGCAAATTAAACATTGATGCGCTCCCCTAGGCCTTAGATATTAACCCTTCGGTCATATTGAACCAACAAGAAAAACAAAGCTTCAACTACTGGAACACATTTGCAGAAATCCTGACATACTAAATGGCAAAAAAGAATAGCTTGCTTGGAACAATCCAAGTTTCTGCAAAAGCCTTTTGCACTTTGCATAACTAACAACTAACGAAGGGATTTGGATAGCAAACATGATGATGGTCAAGGCCTGCCATGTTGTCTGGGATTACCTCCGGAAGACTCTCTGTCCATTGAAAATTCTCTAGAAAGAGATTGTGAAGCTGTTTCTTTGCCAAGGATTCATTCTTTCGCCATGTAGGAGTAGAACATCTCGTCCTACTCGACCGTGTTTGTTTGTCAGAGACTTGGACCCCTACCCTCGGGGTTTGCGCCCAACCTGCGGATATCTTGGATTTGCTCCAGGGTCTAACCAAAATACCAAATAAAACATCTTCGCTGTAGACTCCCCAGTTGAGGGCTATACCTTTGGGAAAATCAACCATGGCTGACTTTATCACCTAGTTGTACCATTATCGGCCACAAAAAAAACTCCATACAGTTCAAACTACGGTGATGGTTGATTATCATAACGGTGTTCGAAACATCTGCCATCACTGACTCATAAAACCCATCAACCCCAACCCCTGGCCATCACCATCCTATTGAGACCCTATGGGCTGAGCGGCGCAAAGCCCCAAGGCCATTTTTCCCAAGGTATTGGCGGAGCATGGGGCGACCAGCGCAACATCTGCCCACTTGCGCAGTTCCACGTGCACCACGAGGTCAGATGAGACATCTTCATATCCTGACTCTGGGAGGATGACCAGCTGAAACTTCTAGAACTGGTTGATGGTTTCAAAATGCTTCAAGCCATGCCAAATATGTCAAAGTCATTGGGATTGGGGATCATCATCCTAAATACGCTTGAAGAATGTTGAACAGAAACAGTGTGTTCAAAACAACGGCAAACCCGAAGCGCGCAGGGCGGGCTCGCCAAAATTTTGGGTCGGCTTCATCTTTCGACATCCCTGTAGTCATCAGAGGAAGCAAACAAAGAATGATCTGCGGAAGGTCAGATGTGATGTAAGGTGTTTTTAGAGAGAATATCAGGAAAACCCTACATTCAACAATGGTTTCCTGATGTTTCCTGAACAATTTCTCTTCAAGTTGCATTGTTTAACTTGCTAGCGCCACCAGCGACTCGAGTCTGATCCTATGAGGTGAGACATCACCCATCATCACCCCACCAAGCGTCGATCCCACTCGTCAAAGTCCCGAAGCACATGCAGTCTGTCCATCCGCTCCCATGCTCGAAAGTTTTCGGGAGCATATCCTGGAAGCGGATATCACACCTACTTTTCCATGACCCAATTGCGATGGAATTCCAGAATGCTGATACAAACTCAGGCTTTTATGGGTTGGATACAACTTGTTAATATCTTTAATGTTTTTTGTTCGTTAGAATTTAGTTTCCCCCAATGTGACACGGCACCATTTCCGCAAGTGCATTGGTGTCTTTTAGACTAAGAAGGCGGGCGAATTCCTACCTCTATGCCTGCAGTTCTCATAGTTTGAAATAGTTTGAACCTAGAATTAAATGTTTTTGGAATCATGTAGTCCAGTTGTAATTCTATCATATCCAATTGTGATTCTATCCAGGACGAGAATAATTGAAACTGGACCAGAGCGCACCCCGCCCAGAATTCCGACTTCTTCCTGTCAAGACTTTCGAATGAAAGATCCAGCACCACTGGGCGCTCTACGTGGAGGTTTTCTCTGTCCGAGTGACCAAGACCACACCGTGTCCACAGCAAGCTTGTCATGTGTTGTTTATTCCTCAAAAAAGTACCCTCTGGTAAACTAACATAACTATGGAAAATCACCATTTTCAATGGGACAACTCACTATAAATAGCCATTTTCAATAGCTATGTTAAATTACCAGAGGGTAGTCCCAAATGCATGAACCAGTGACCAGGACGTGTATTGACCATGACAATGTCCATTTAGAAATGTCTTTCCAGCATCTGTTGCCAACGTTACATGTCGCAGGGAACCCGTTCCATCATTTTGAGGGTCCACAGCAATCATCAGTAACCATCTTCATAAATCCCAGAGAGTTTCATTCACAAGTGGTTCCCAAATAAGTGAGACATTAATCCCCCAATCTGATCTACAACCAGCTGCCCAGTATATGAATGGTACAAATACCGCACATACCTTATTTCCAGACAAATCAATTGTATATGAACGTTCACCCCATCCCCCGTTCACATCAATCACAATTCATTCACACCACATAAACCCTGGTTTAGGGGATACTTAAACACATCTTTGGGATCATAGAATTATAGGGGGTGGAAATCCCATCCGCTAATTTATCGAAGTCAAAAACGGGGGATAATTCCCAGCGAACCAGTTAAGTGACTTGTTGGTGATGTATCCCGATGGATTATCCCCATTGAATCCCCACGAAATATCTCATTTTTCTTGAAAACAGTGATATATATATATATATGTGATATATATATATGATATATATATATATATAATATATGTGATATTAATATATATATACTGTATGTGATATATATATATATCCCCATTATATCACCAAGTATTTTTCCATTAAAAAAACATTAAAAAAAAACAACATTATATATCCCACCAAGATACCCCACACCTTTCAAACAGTGGTCCCTTCGCCGTGTCCCCACCGCCACTTCCCCTTGCGGCCCAAGCTTCGACCCGCGATCTTTGCGCTGGTCATGACTTCGGCGGCTGCCGTAAGGATCACTGCCACCTGCGAGGCCACGAATTTGTTGAGGCTATTTACTATGTATATATTTATGTATATAAATATATATATATATACATACACATAGTATTTTAATGTTGTATTATTTATTTATTTATTTATATATATATATATATTATACGATCATTATATATTATACAGTATATGATTATTATTATTGTTATTATTATTAATATTATTGTTATTATTAATTATGTTTATTATTATTATTATTAATTATTATATTTTTGCATAATTATATATACATACTATTCGGAGAATCCCAAATATATTGGGTAGTGTAACCGCCCAAAAATGAACCAACTCTTTTCGTGTAGCTGTGTAAAGCTAATTTGATCTGATGAAATGATTTTGTTCTCATGAATTTGCCGTGCACCAACCATGATAAAACATCACATCAGTGACCATTCATGCCCATAAACCATGGACAATTTCACCGCCAACCGCTGGAAGCCGGCCAAAAATGCAACCTTTTCAGATGGGCCATGGGCGACTGCATTCTTTTTGGGATGAGGTATACCGGTATACCTGTGTACCGGTATACCGGTAGCTATCTATCTCTATCAAATCTATGTATTTTACATCTAATCCCAATCTCATCTTATTCAGCTGACAACTTAATCATCCATTTCTTGACAGTTGAGTCTCTTCCCCATGTGTCATATATATATATATAATCGGGGTGCCAATTCACTATGTGAAGTTGTGCAGGAGTTTTAGAGCGGTCTAACTTTTGTGCATAGGCCTCAGGCTTTAAAATGCACAAAAACAATGAAAACTGGCTCTGCAATAAAATGCCTTGCCACCAAATTCATGCTTGAATGTGCATCCAACATCATCCAATTTCATCCAATTTTGAAGACCCTCAGCCTGACATCAATTTTAAAATTCCAATACATTAAGAATTTCGTTTAAACTATGCACAGGCTCACCGGTTCTAGAGTGGAAATTGCCACGGGGATTATATATATATATAATCTGGTTGGTGGTTTCAACCCCTCTGAAAAATATTAGTCAGTTGGGATGATTAGTCCATATATTTAAAAACCATGTTCCAAACCACCAACCAGTATATTGCTATCATATCCCATGAAATACCCATAGCTTGGCCCCATCAAAAACCGCTAAAACCGCCTCCGCAAAGTCCGCCAGCTTCCGCGCGAGCTCAGGCACCTTCACAGCTGCCACGCTGCCGGTGGCCACCAAGACCTCCGTCACTGAATTCTCCAGAGTTTGATGGTGATTTAATGGTGGTTTAATAGTGACGTAATGGGGATTAATGGTGATTCAATGGTCATTTATTGGGATTCATTGAGCCATAATCCCTCCATATACGACTAAAGTATACTAATGATGATTGAATATAAGTATGAATATGGAGCTGCAAAAGTTGAAACCCTCTCATATTTTGGAATTCTCCATTCATCGAGGGGATATCCTCCAAAGTATTTCCCTTGCCCCTCCACTCCCTGGGGGAAGCTCTTGCCACCTTGGATGGTTTTTACCTAAAGTATCGGGGACAGTGGCTATGGGATATAACGTGGAGTACTATAGGCTACTATGAACTCACTAAAACATGATTAATATTAGGGTTTCTGGGAAACTGAGGTAAAGGGTAAACCCAGAAAATTGCGATTCGAATCAGGAAAACTATATGATTCCACTGGATAGACTGGGGTGGGGTTTTGGTAAGGAATCCCATGCTTGGGGCCAGGTTTAGAGAAACCACCATAAATTGTCAGCTCCATTCAAATGATTGTGGGAGGTAGCTAAAACATGCCATACAGGGATGGTTCAGGCTTGTATTTCCATGATTTCCTCTGCAAAGATCACCCTGTGGGGGTGTTCATCAGCTACTTAACCATATTTTCCCACCAGAAAGTGATGATTGAACTTGAAATCCAAGGAGGCCCGAAGGATGTGGGAATGGTTGAGCCATAAAAACATCTGGGCATGGGTAAAGTCACGAGGTATCCTAAAAATAGGATGGTCAAGTGAGTGGGCCCAGTGGGCCCCCAAGGACTCAGAAAGGCGACAAATTCATTGGTATCTGAAAAGCCTCCATAAGTTCGACCCAAATATTATCCGTGTCACTGACTATCAATTATATATATCATATATATATATATAAATATACAATTTAATGCTCAAATATATAACATGCTTTGATCGTTCATATCTTCATAAACATGACCCATACATACCCATACCCATACATAACGAGTGAACAATTGCAATATGCTGACCGACTATGAATCATCAAGAAAAACACTTGAAATTCAAGATGATTCAACATCATTCCGCAAAATACTCCATCATATTCCCATCATATTCCGCAAAAAACTACGCCCATACCCATCATTCCCATCAGTCCCCTTACCACTTTGCCAATGCAAGGTACAATGCGCGGTGGAGAATCCGCCTCTGGCACCTCTGTGAGCCATTTCTCTCGGCAGGTTGGAGTGGCCTGGGGGAAGGTGGCTTAGCCATGGTTAGCCAATGACTTTGGGATCTAAATGAGATTGAATCATCTTAGAAACTGTTCATATCCTCTTAATATAGTGTATATATCCAGTTCTGGGTGGCTTGTTTGGTGCTTTCACTGCAGTATGAGGTATCTTGCCAGGCTTTTTTTCGGGTGACGCCTGTAGAGTTGCGATGGTCGGGGCCAAGTTGTGGAACAAACAGAAGGCCTCTGAGAACATGCCAGTGGATAACAATGAAGATAACATGGTCAACACCAGGCCGCCAACTAAAGAAGTCATTGTCAATAGGTTCAAAGTCGCGAGAATTTCTTCAAGTTGTGGACCTGAGTATCTCAAATCCACTCAAATGCTTGAAATTTATCAAGAAAGCCATGGGCAAACCGATCAGTTGAGGACTGTTCTAGATTCAATGAAAGCCACGTAGCACTGGAACGAATCGACCCCCTTCCCCAGCGGAGTTACTCGACCAAGGCGTCGATTCTTGGTGCTGAGAAAATAAAGTCCCAGCCCGGCCAAATGACCTGCGACCTTGGTCGTCAAATCCCATGTCCTTTTGGGAAAAAAAACCTGTCGCCATCGGTTTGGTTTTCCATGGTTTACCATTTACTGAAATGTAATGTAAGAATAAAACCAGTCAAAAACCAACAGGTAACATCAGGTAATTAGTATTACCTAGTAGTATTACCATGTACATAGTAGTAAATGGGAGACCCCTTTTCAAACAGCCAAGCAGTTGAAACAGGAGGGCATCGGGTGCGACGTAAGTAAGTTGATGAGCTTAAGAGTTGGATTTAGGCTCTGGCAATGGAAATATCATCCCAACACGGAAATTGTCCACTGCAAGATTCATGAGAGATCTTCAAGAGGCAAAACACGTACAGTAATTAGCTAATGTGTAGTTTGCAGCTTGAAATGAATTGAATCATGCTGGCCAGAGTCATTGCAAGGAACTATATACAAAAAACAAACATGCAATACATGTTTTTGTGGAAGCATGTCATCCAACAAATGAGCTGAGACCGAGGATGACATGCTTCCACAAAAACATTTATTGCATGTTTGTCTTTTGTATATAGTGTCCTGAAGTGATCCTGCCCCAGTTTGGTGACTCAAAGCACCTTAAGTCCTCTCCTCTTCGATTAGGATTCTAGGAGGATTGCACATACAAAGGCTAACATGACTTCGACTAACCAGTCACCAGTCACGGGACCCCATGGCACAACAAATATATCCGTCTAGTCTAGACATGTCTAGACCATCCTGGACCCTCCAGCTACCCATACAATGTGCAATTCCTCCATATCTCCATAACTTAAGATTTTTGGCCAATCCTTGCTGGTCAACTGAGGGAAACATGTATCCAATTCATGTCAAAGAACTATCCATAGATGAGAGCGCGGAACGCTGCCATTGCTTCCCATGGTAGGCAACTGGAAGAGTTCTTTGTCGAAGGAAACCCATGTTTCGTGATGCATGGCAGAATCTGGTCAAATATGAAAATCTTCGAAATGCTTGGGAATCCTGTTTGGAGATCCCATCTTACACAGTCTGAAACACGCGACGTCTACGTCTTCGGCATTTGCAAAAAAAATGGTGGCAGGTCTGAGAATCCAGATGAGACATAGCCTGGAACTTTAACAGAACTTTAATCGTAAACTCAACTGAAACAGCCCAAAAAGCATGAAATCAAACTACCGAACCAAGAGCAGTTAAAGATCCAACGGCTTAGGGACAGACCAGGACAGGTAGCTCTTGACCCGAACTTCGCTTGGAAAACGTTAGAGCCATTTAGGACATCCAACCACCCCAGTCTGGATTGCACCATATGGTTCTGAGGGTGGGAGCTACAAAAATGTCATGACAAATTCAAACTTGAGGGTTTCGAATTTGTTATTCACTGTTATACATGTTTATACAAAGCTTGATGAGGAATGTCAGGGGGCTTTTCAGTTTCAAAAACATCTTATTTTCAACCAAGTGGAATAATCAGTCTTAACACAATGTCAAATCCTAAAAAAATCAATGATACCATCTGGTTATTTAACATAGCCATGGAACATCCCTTATAAATGGAGGTTTCTAGCTGGGAAAATCATCTATTTCTATGGGCCATTTTCCATGGCTATGTTAAATAACCAGAGGGTAGGTTGAAGGTCCTTCCTCAGTGCAGAATTTGAAAAAGGGGATTGCTTCCATGGCCTTGACCATGTGATGTTGAAAAAAGATGGATGACTGGATGCCATTTTTTTCCGGCAGCTAATTGGCAGCAACATATCCACCATTCAATACAAATATATAGAATATGCAATTGATTTTCAAGAGTAGGCGGTTTTCCAGCCAATCATGTTTCATGACAACATGGTATTGTAGTACAGCCAGGTGGAGATGGCAGCAAAGCCGCAATTTCTTTGGAACAGCAAGCCGGCAGCTGCGCCGCTGCGCGATGGATTTTTGATGTTCTAATGGTCTGTCCACTGGGTCCATGGTCAACTCATGAATACAGTAGCTGAGTCACCCATCCCCAAAGTCAAGTGGGATCATTGTTCCAGAAATGGATGAAATAACATGTTTCAAACCAAGCAATTACAAAGTGGAGACATCCCCACTATTGTCTCAACATGGGTCAAAAACGTGTATGTATATACCTACGTCTTCAGAGTGATGCTTTTTTTTGCTCTTTCAAGAATTATCGTTAATTCCCCGATGTGCTACTTTTTTTTGCCTTCGAGCGTTTTTTGGCTTTTCATTGATTTTCATCGTTTTGCTGACAATTAGATCATCTGACCAGCCCATGCCATCCAGTGGCACGTCTGGCTCCAGAAATTAGATTCCAACCGGCCACCGCCCAGACTTCAGGTGCGCCATTTTGCTTTTGTGCCAATCTCTCCCAGGATCTTCTTCTCACACCGGACCTGGGCAGGTATGTGCGGAATGAAGATTACCCAAGCGGCTGGGAAAGCTGAAGGACCGGTCTGGGGAATGGAATGGGTTGCCTGCTGCTCGTGGGTTGCCACTCCATGCCACAAAATAAAAAGCAATGAATCCCATTGATCTATCATACTGGTCTGGAGGCTTTTAGTGCTCAAGGCCAGGTTACTGTCACAATTTCAGTATGGCTGACGCCAAGGGGGTGTTAGCTTCAGAGTTGGAAAATGATGCTCTCCTTCGCAACCGGGCGAGGGTGAATGGGGTGTTGATGACATGGCCTAGCCAAAAATCGACGGGGATTCCAAGTATGAGGGCATGCGAGCTTAACTCTACAGCTCTTCAACATCTCGCCCGCTGGTGGGCACAGTGTTCGGACCTGCCTGCATCGATTCCGATCGATGCTATTCGCAATGAGGTGAGGGGTTCAAACAATCCACTTTACAACTGGAAATTTGGACGTGTGTCCTATCAATCTTTTGAACACTTCTTAACTCCAACATAACATAAGGTGATCTGGCTTTATTTGGCTGGCATCTAAATGTTTTAGCCCTAGGTTCATGCCTGGAGAGAGCTGATGGTGCTGCCGGAAGACCCGGGGAAGCTCAATATGGACAGTTGGGGGTTGAAGCGTTGTTACAGTCACCTACTTCGACGCTGGTTGGCCGGCACGGTAACTCCAAGAGCAACTTCCCCAAAGATTATGATGTTACCATGCAAAAAAAAGAAAACTTATGTGACATTATACAATGTGGGTCCCCTCAGATAGTTAACCTATTTTGTAACCACAATAACCAGGGTCTATGAAGGATATCTACAGTTAGATGGGGTTATAAACCAACTTATAACTAGGGGACCCCACTATGTATATTTTGTGGGGTCTTTGGTGATTGCTTTACTTGAAAGATTTTAGGCCTATGTCCATAGAAAAAAATGTTTAGACCTACAGCCCCACCACCTCTGCAGGTAACCACATTGCAGGGCATTTGGGACATCTTCGATACGGTTTGGGGAGATGAGGGCCCGTCGTCTTCTACCCCAGCTATCTTAGTGGACAATCGTCGTGCTTTGGTGGAACTGTTGGCGATCGAAGATGGCTCGGTTAATGGTGATGCTCCAATGGGGGATACTTCAGATAGTTCTTCTGTGGCAACCACCCAACCTGAGCAGACTCCTGATGACAGCTATCCCGACCCTGGAGTTCCAGACACTTTGCTGGAGAATGGTGATGATGGTTCTGATCATGAAGTGGCCATTGAGATCGCAGACTCACAGCCGGTGAATGATGCTGATTTCACTCCTGAGGAGCCAGACTCACAGGGGCCGCTTGAGGAACCACTCGACGAGCTCATGCCGCTGCCTGAGGTTCCAGACTCTCAGCCAGCCATTCATGGTGATGTGGGCCCATGGGGTTTCAATGACGAGGACATGGCTGGGGATGTTTCCAGTGATACTTCTCCACCCGATGTGCTTGACTCGAAGCCAGTGGTTGGTGATGGCCCGCATACTGGGATGAGTCACACCGATGTGCCACCCAACACATCCAAGGACCCTCTGGTTGAACATGTTTGATCATGTTTGTATATTATGTTTTCATGTCAACCCCGGATTAATGAACCATGGTTGATTCAGTAAGAGGGTACTCCCCCATGGTTATACTATGATACTTAATAAGTATCGCCCTTAAACAATTTAGGGGTTTATTAATCCAGGGTTGATATCAATGTCTTTGAATTATTACTTCATGTTTTACAAACCACCTAAACTACGTCTTCAAAAAACAATTGGGGCTTACCCGACATTGAAATATTTAGATGGCAATTTTGGTGGCACCTGGCTAAAATCAACAATTACAATGTTACACTAAATTTGGTGTTTATAAAATGTTTCCCCCAATCCAGGAGAGCGGCGTGATCGAGGTCAAACCACCTGGGGGCCCGAGCAAAGACTTGTCGGACATGGGTCCACCGGCTTTGCCTGATCCCATGCGGTTGAAGCGCAAGAGGGAGATCCAGGCCCAATTGGACAGCTTGAGGACTGGGATGTGGGGTGCAAATCAATCCATACGTTGATGTTACCACAGTGTTAATGATTCGGTTTGTAAAACCCAACATAAAATTAGGGAGCTACTCTTTTTCAAGCCTGTTTGGGATCTTGTTGATCCTCCCCCCATTCCAGGGCAAAGATGGAAGAAAGGGCAGCATCGCAATCTCAGCTTGCCAGGCTGAAAAGCTCGAATGTGCTAGGTAACTTGTTCCCACTTATGGGTTTGTTTTTCATACCCATCCCATATTTCTAGGTCAAATCACGTTAGGTAATATCATATCAGTGAACATCACAACACATTATGATATGCGTTTTTCGTACATATCAAAATGTCTTATGTCATATTACACCCTTCCACATCATACCCGATGACCAAGCATCAAACCAAAATACATGACTTGAATTCATGTCA